TCCCCTTATTCATCCTATTTCCTTTTGAAATGCTATCCATTAGACCCCACTGAAGCCTTTTTATTTCTTTTTTAGGACCCTTTTTTTCTGTTCTTCTCCTGGCCCTTTCCAGATTTAGTCACCTCTTTATTAAAGATTCTCTCCTTTTCATCTTCTTTGTCTCTTCTCACAATTCCCAAAGTTCTGGCTATATTGTCAATTCCCAAATTCTCTGTCTCCTTCTTGCCACTGCTTGGTGGAACAGCTATCTGAATTGGAACGATCTGCATTGGGTGGGATGGCAACTCATTTGAACCTGAAAGAGTGGAAGGGGAGAAAAGACAGTGAGATGCAGAWRCAGAGCAAGAAAAAGGAGRTTGAAGAGAAGACAGAACCGAATGGGGGGCGGGGGATCTCCCTGAGTGCGATTTATGGTTTTGGTCAGGAAAGGAGGTTGACGAATCTCTCCCTTGTCTGCGATCAGGGGGGTCTGATTCTGAAGACATTCTGTAGCCTAGATCGATCAACTGGGTCTGCTCGAGAATCTCCACACAACCCCAACTCCCTTTGTCTGCGAACAGGTCTTTTACTCTTTTAAGAGCAAACTCACGAGGGTCTGGATCTGCTTCAGTAGCGTATGAGCTGAGGTCATCCTCTGTGTCTTCTTCTTCACTGTCAGATGGCAGGCCAGAGCTCACGGACGGAGTTGGAGCCATGAAAACTTTACCAAGATGTCGGCCTGAACTGGGAGGAGTTTCGGAAACCACCTGACTGAAGGTGGGGGTTGCTGGTGGGCTTAAGGTGCTAGATGGGCTGGAAGACTTAAGTGGGCCTTGGGTTTGAGAAGAGCAGCCCAAGTTTTCAAACCGGTTGGGAGTTGGGACAATATTGGCAATCCAGGAATTAGGGGGGGGGTTTGAAATTCGAGACTTTTTAATAAGGGGTTGCGCCTGTCCATCTTCTTCACGTCTTTTGAGCTCCACAAAGCCTTTAGATTTGGAGGAGGAGAGCTCCTGCACAGATTCACGAGGAGCCACCGCTGACTTTCCGCCTTCTCTGTGCATGCCTTTACTGCGACCAGATGTCTGAGTGACAAAGGTGGAAGTGCCACGTGGAGGAGAGACCTTTGAGTGAGTTGGCTCGGAGAGACCGGAAGGTGACTCGTTTGTCTTCTCCACCTCCACAGAGATGTAGAACCAGACGTTTCTATCCAGAACTGGGATTGAACGAGGGATGGCATGAACACCACGGTTTTTCACCCTAATTCTGGCAAAACTCAACTCAGAGAGATTCAAGGATCGGGGATCTATGTCTTCAAGACCTCTGCAGGTGTCTTCTATCAGAGAAAAAATTTCCAGAGGTGGAATGGTAGCCCTCTTAACTCGAGCCATCCGTTGAATCTCGACTGATCAGGGACTGCATGAATCTTTGGCCACCAGCATTCAATTTGAATCCAGTCACCAAAAACGAAGATTGCTTTGAGCTTGGTCCAAGAGATAATCAAGTCTTCTGAAGGGGCAAAGCCCACTGCTTTATTTTGTTCAAAAGGGCGCAGTTTCAACAGGAATTCAGAATGCAAATTTGCAGACAGTTCGGCTTCAACTTCATCCCAACTTAACGCAGGTGTTTTCGTACAGACGAAAGCCAATCTCCAGTTTCCAAATGGCTTTTATGATTCTGCTTTTGACTTCGAGCGATGGAAAGATTTCTTGCGTGAGATTAGTATGGCGGGGTTTCACTCTAGGCGGAACAGCCCAGTCCAAAAATTGGATGAAAGAGTTCCAGCCACTGGAAGCTGGTTCTTCTGGGATACAAATGTGTCTTACCTTGTCTGATTTTTCCCATCTTCTCAGATGGATGAATCTGCCCCAGGTATTTGATCTAAGTTGTAAACATAGGATTCTTCCATTGAATGATCTCTTACGGTCTGCTAAATGTCTTAGTTCAATTTCCAGAGCTTCCTGGATGTAGGTTCTAGTCCATAGAATGTCCTCTCGAGACAAAATTATCTGAGTCCAAGCTCCCTTGCCCCTTTCCGTTAGTACGAAATCATCTTTTTGATTAAAGCTTCATTTAATTTCGAAGGATTTTGATCCGACATTCAAAAATCTCCGTTCCATGATGCTTAGAGAGTGGATCTTCTCCTACACACCTTTCTGTCGTTCCATTACCATCTTCTCTAACTACGAACTCCACAAATGCCAGCTCTCCACCCCATACTTTTCCCTTTCTTGGTCAACCTAACTATGTGCCGTTCCTCTAACAGAGCTTTAACGGAGACGGGCATGCACCAGCTTAGGTTCAAGGCCTTCAAAAAGTGATTCCAAACAGCTGTATTAAACTTGAAATGTAAGGACAGATGCCTAGAGGACTCAACCTCTACATTGCAGAGACAGCACCTCAAATCATTGCAATTAAAACCCTTCTTTGGAAAGACATCTCTCCGAATCTGCCACCCAGACAAAAAAACTTACTTTTTAGGAAGTTCATTCTGTCCCACTAGAAAGTTGTAAAAAGATTTGACTGAGAAGTCTCCTGAACTATTCCACTTCCAAATTCTTGTATGCTGTGCCTAAAGATTTAAATGCTGATTTTCATTTTATCTGCAATCTCAGAAGGAACTGGAAAGGACATGAAATTGGTCGAGAGGCTTGCCCAAACACTTTTGATGAGAGTTACCTTTTTACCTTTAGAAAAATATCTTGCTCTCCAAGCAGCCAGTTTTTGATCCATATTCCTCCTCTCTAGGATTGGATTCCAAATAGACCTGTTCATGGTTGCCAAAATTTGAATAAGTCTGGCCCAAAGCCCTTGCTTGAGACAGTCTAAAGTCAGGCCTGAAGCCTGGTGAACAGGTCTAATTCCAAATGGCTTTGGACGTGCACTTGGTGCCAAGGGGCAAACCCAATATTTTGAGGCAGTCTGCCAACTTTGCAGCCCAACAGATCAGCCAGCCTCTGGATGTTGGGAACCTCCCCAGCAGATAAATTTCACTCTTTTGATAAGTTCACCTTCAAGCTTAATACTTTCTCAAACCAAAAGAAAAGATGTCTCAGTTTGAGGATCTGGTCCACCGAGACATTACAGAAAAAGAGGGTATCATCTACATACTGCAGAATGGGGATTTTTGTACCATTAGTGCTTGCTTCAAAACCCTCCAAAAAGGCAAAAAGTCTAACTTCGAAGCCCTATCCACCATTTTACTGAGACCTTCCATCACAATTAGAAAGAGCAGGCATGACAAGGGGTCTCCTTGGCTTAAACCTCTTGTACTCTTTGAGCTTACCTCTTGCTAAGCCATTAAATATGACTGAGAATCTTGGGGTGGTTAATACATACTTTTATCCTGCTTCTCCATTTTGAGCCGAAATGCATTCTTTCCGGCAAGTAGTCCAGAAAAAAGCCCAAATATCATGGTGATAGGCTTTTATAAGTTCATTTTGCAAACAAGCCAACTCCTCTCACTTCTCCTTCTTGAATCAATAAGCTCATTGGCTATAAGAACTCCATCATGAATGTGTTTGGTATGGATAAAGGTTCCCTGGTGCATGGAGATCAGAGGGTCTCACATTCCTTAGCCTTGTAGCTGGGATTTTTGCCATGATTTTGTAGACACTGCTGATCAAACTGATTGGCCTGAAGCCCTTCAGCTCTGTAGCTCCCATTTTTCTTTGGAATGAATGATATAAAAGTTGCATTCAGGCTTTTTTCTAGGGCAACAAAATCATGAAATTCTTCAAGCACCCTTAAAAAGTCACCTTTAATAAGCTCCCAACATTTCCAATAAAATAGAATAGTGGAACTGTCAGGTCCAAGGGCTTTTCCCCCTTCCATATCATCTAAAACCTTCTTTACCTCTTCCTCTGAAAGGAGTTTCTCTCGTTTGATAAATCTGCAAATTCAGATCTGAAAAATTAAAAAGATATTAAATGTGTGAAATCTGAAAAGAGGCATAGTTGCTTTTCTACTTTTTAGAGGATCTGAATCCATAAGTTTGTTTGTGTTGGATCAACCCTTTACCATCTGAAATTTACTGATTTTACTATTTTACCCCTAAAACATACAATTTGGAAATGTTGAATTCAATTTACATTATCTCATAATTTTTTTTTCAACCTCAAAATAATATTGAAACAATAAAAAAAAATTAATAATTACTAGTTAATAATTGAAATGATTAAAATTTAAAAATAATTAATGATTATAAAAATATTAAAATAATTAATAATTTAGACAAATACAAATTAAAATAATTTTTAAAAATTAATGAAATAATTAAAAATTACTTGTTAATAAAAATAATTAATAATTAATAAATAACACAAGTAAATTTAATAAAAATAATTAATGTTTAATAAAAAATAATAAAATAATTAATAAAAATAATTTATAATTAATGATTAATAAAAGTATTATTATTATTATTCACCGAACCACCACTGCTGCATGTTGCAGCGGTGGTGGGAAGACGGGGGAGAGAGAGAGAGAGAGAGAGAGAGAGAGAGAGAGGGTCGAATGTTTAGGCTTTCTGAGTCTGGGGGTATTAGGGGTAACTCGCGTCATTTCCAAAATCTTGTAAGGATATTTTGGACATTGGGCTGGCTCTGAAACACGTTAAGAGCCGGCCCAAGGTCTGATTTTCAGATCTGAAAAATCAGTTTTAGACCCAGTTTAAGAGGTACAATCAAACAAGTTATGCTTTTATTTTCTTGGCTTGTTAATATCCAATTTAGCTGAATATACAAGTAAATCATAAGAATGGTGAGACATGCCAAGAGGAATAAATCAATAAAGAAATTCTTAGTTGTTTCATTGAGGGGCCATTTCTTTGTATATATACAATGGTAAGACAGTAAAACCATGGCCTGGCAAATGTGAAAAACATGTTTTCTAGTCTGAAAACAGAGGTTTAGGCTGTATCTAGTCCAATCATCTCATGACCCTGAATGGATAATGGTCCTGTCTGAAAACAGAGGTTTCGTGATCTCATTCTTTACTAAGATTGTCTTGATCCATAACAGGAGAAGTTTTTTGAGGGTCATCCCCTAGTTGATGTACTGAAACAAAAGCGAAACAAATTGCTTGGAATATCTGAAAGGGATGATGGCACAGAAGATGAGAAAGCTCCTAGGAATCCACCATGGGTGCAGTGCTGCATAAAGTCTTACTACATAGATAAAAGCGATGCATGGGGAAGCAGAAGATACAGGATTTTTGCCACCAGAATGGTGGGATGATACGGAGTTGATAGTTTTGTTTGCCTACTGAAGCTGGTTTTTTGAACAGGTTGTAATATATAGTGCAGGTCCCTGATCCAGTCTATAGTTTTGCTTCTGTATTGCCTTGCCAGGCTGTTGTTTTATGTAAAATGTATCCCAGAGCTTTTTGCTCTCATTCCACGTCGTTTGAGTTTTTGGCACGGTAAGTTCAGCAACTTTTTCTTGAGTTTGAGAGCGATTGGGTGCCTGTTTGGGAGGGCTTTCATACGGAAAGCCTAGAAACTAAACTATATTTGGTGAATCCGGAAAGCCCAAGTACGCTTTCCTACGGCCAAGAAATTGACTTCTCGGTGAAGCTGATTTTGGTAGGTTCAAAACAGCTCAGAGCCCGTTTCGTCGGGCTTACACAGTGTGATTGAGTTGTGCTGACTGAGCCGCCGCGTCTGATAAGTCTCATTGTTTTTATCAAATGCGGTTTCAATGGAAAGTTGATTTTTGGGTTCATGTAAGTTATTTCTAGCTTTTCGGATTTTTATCAAATGGGACTTCACTGCTTTTCTGGGTTTTGATGGCTCATACAACGCCAGAAGCCGCTGTCTGAAAGCCCTTCCAATTTTCAAACGGACACTTAGGCTATGTTTGGTTTGAAGGAAAAGGTAGAAAAGGAAGGGAAAGGTATGAAATCCTATACAAAGTTTGTAAAGGTTTCTTTACCTTTCCCTTCTTTTCCTTGCTTTTTCTTTCAAACCAAACATAGCCTCAAGTGAAAGTAGCTCAATCACCCGTCGTTCGTGCAAGGAACCAATTGAGGCCCACACAATAGAAAATTCTTCTTCGGCAGGCCCATGTGAACATTAATTTTGGAAATTGGAATCACAAGTCCAGATTCTTAACACCTACGGAGAAAGTGAGAAACGTCCTTGGGTCCGAACTTTCTGCCGATCTACACGAAACCTACATTCTGTGGTCCAGATTGATAGCCCTGAAAACTGCTTAGATAGATGATCACTTCACAGCCATCCCTGCCAACGATCCAAAGTAAGAAGTGCATCGAACGGCCAGAGAACTCCAATATCATCTTTAGGCCGAAACCGAATGGGTCCCACCAAAAAACCCGCCTGTGAGTCTGTGACCTGTGCCCAGCTGCCCCCACATAGGACTAGGAGGAGTATAGGACTCACGAAACGGGTCCGGTCAGGTCAACCCACCCCCAGTTTCTAAACAAACAAGCTCGTAGGTTTGTTTAGTTTAATACAAAAACAAGGCAAGCCACCAAACCACCCACTCACCCCCCTCAACAAGACTCAGACTCAGATCCGAGCGAACTCCATTAACAGAGTGGGTTCGTCCTTCGTCCGTCCCCCCTTTGAACTTTGATCCAACCCCTCTCCCCTTCCCAAAGCCTTATAATGGCTTCCACCCCGACCCCTCAACCTCCACCCCCGCCCATCCCTATCAAAGTTGCCGCTCGCAAGCTCCCCGTCAAGCGAAAAGCCCCCGAAACCCCTTCACCTTTCCCTAACCCTAACCCCCATCTCTCCCCCAAACTCGAAGCCGCCGACGATGACGACGACGTTGACGGCGAGGACATCGAGGCTGAGGACGATCTCCGCCCTCCTCCCTTCAAATTCCACCGCATATGGCCGGAATCCGACGAAATTCGCTTCCTCCAGGGCCTTCTTGATTGCTCGGCCGACGGTCTCACCTTCCCCCGGGATCTCCACCTTTTCTACGACCGCTTCTCCCAGTCCATGCCCCAGCCCTACACAAAGTCCCAGCTTTCGGAGAAGCTTCGCCGTCTGCGGAAGAAGTTTCGTGTGATATCCGCTCGAATTGCCCGTGGCCTTGACGCTTCCCTCCTCACACCTCACGATCGCGCCCTTTTCGATCTTTCGAAGCAGCTCTGGCATCCTGCGTTCGCCTCGTCTTCTCCTTTTCTGTCCAATAACAAGAGGAAGCCCCCCGCTAAGGTTAGGGTTACCGCTACCTTATCACCTACCCCTTTGGCGGCTCTTCCTCCTCCCAGCAGCGCCAATGTCAACGATGCCGATAACGAGGAGGATGATGACATTGAGACTAACGGGGTGAATCTTGAGACCCATTCCGCTGGCGGGCACGAAGATGAACCGGAATTGCCGGGCTCCGCGGTTACCGGGAGCACCAGCAGAGGTGGGCTTGGTCGTCACGCCGGGAAAACTATCTTGGATGTGTTCGATAGATCACTCAAAGAGGTTCGAATGGTTCTTGTCCGTCAGGGCCTGCTTTATCCGGACGACAGGACGACTCCGGCTGATTCTTCTAAGCAGGACAAGGCTGCTCACTTAACAAAGAGGTGGCGTGAGCAGCGGGCATCCGAGCTGGATGTATTGGCTCGTCGTTTGAGGTTGGTTCTTGAACATGCGATCCGGCAGCAATAAGTTTCTGTCTTGCAAATTTCATGGAAAGATCAAAATGTTGCTCTTTTTTAAATGCTTTTGTTCTTTTAGCTTGCCTTTTCCCCTATTCGTGTAATCTATTTGACCTTTGTTTTCTCCTTCTTTTGTACAATTCATTATAGACAACTTTTTTGGCTTCATTAACATTTCGATGTATTTGTTTATGGAATAAGCGTTAAGAAAATTCATTTTCATTTCTGCGAGTTCATCTTTCCCAATTAACAGTGACCATTTTTTGTTCTGTGTGTGGATTACTTGAACAATTTGAAGTTTTGGAATTTAATTTGTTAGAAGTCTGACAAAGAAATTTAATTTGTAATGAAGTGCACTCATCTCATGTAGATCATATGATCAGATCTCAAGGCTGTAGAGTTGTGCCAATCAACTTATGGGATTGTCTAATAACTGAAGAATTAATATAATTTCCTATTTTTTCTAAGATTTGTTAATTAAAGAAAGAGCATTGATAAAAATCTGTCTTCTTCTCAAACTTCTCTCTGCTCAGTGGGTAGTTTTTTTTAGATTAGTGGGGGTGGATTCATATCTCCTTTCAATGGAGTTTGCAGTCACAGCAGGCCGGATGTTGCTTCGTTACTTTGAATGCTACTCTTGATAAAACATAACCTCTGTCATGTTCTTATCAGTCTGGCCCATGTCAGGATAATAGAGTGAGAAATATGAGAGACTACTAGTTTAGATCCTATCCGCTCTCCTTCACAGCCTGGTCAATACAAGTAGAGAAAATATGGGATCCAAATACATAGGAAGATAAAAGCCAAAACCCACTGTCGTGCAGTAAGGAAGAAAGCATGTGTTTGGTTTCGTAACGGTGCCACATACGCCCCATCAGCAAAGGCCTCATTAGTTGCACCTCTCCCAGAAGCTTCATTTTGGAGCTTCTTGAAATGGATATGTGTTATAAATGCCCTCATTAATTGTTTTTCTTGATTTTACGGCCACATAAGTACAAAACATTTATTCAATAAACGTAAAGGGAACTAAACACCCTCTAAATGTGATTTTAAATGATCATTAGAATTGTTATTGGAACAGAAAAAGGTTTTGGTATTGAAGATGTTTGCCATCTGCTGTTAAATTATTTAACAGATCAGTGAGGTCCAAAGAGACTGAGAATAGGCACCATTTTAGAGAGAGAAAATCTAGTTTCAGGTTCAGGTTCTTTTTCTTTTTTCGACTTCTGTTAGGTCAATGTCTTCCAAGTTCCAATCACCCTACTCACAAGAAAGATCATGCCCATAGCACTAGCAGAGAGGATAGGAAGAATGAAATCCAATCGATTTTCTTAGAGCTAATTCACAAATATGACATGTACGTTGTAACTTTTTGAGTTAGAAAATGGCTTCCCAAGTTGATCATCCAACAAGGAGATTTACTCCATACACTTGCATGTCTAAAGAAAAAATCCCCCTCCAATCTCCGAAGAAAAAATCCACATGACTTCACTTTGAATGTGACTTTTAACCAAATCAAACCAAGGAACTGATTAACTAACAATTTTGATATGACTTTAACCTCCAATTCTATTTCATCTTTGACTTTTTGAATGCTGTTTAAATGAAAACTCAACCAAAAATAACGCATCTTAGAGGTCTATAGGTTGCATTTGAATTGTGATGCGGAAATCGAACTGTTTAACACTGTGAACTTCGTGAATTTCTGGTTTCCAGCGCTGCAAATCAAGGAACCTGCAGAATTATCTTTCACTGTCTCACGTGGTCTTTTACATTTCCTATTGGGCCACAGCCCCTGAAGGCTCTTCCAATTAAAATCCAGTTTGACCAACTGATGGTGATGGTGGCTGAGTTGGTAGAATCTCCGATTCGTTGTAGCAGAGACCTGGGTTAAATCTCGCTGCCACCAGGGTTGGGGGTTAAGGGAATGGGATGGGTTAATCCCCGTTGTGTAGCGCATGAAGCAAAAATTAAAGTCCAGTTTGAACATCGCTTTGAGTCTGAGATTAACATCAGTAGATGAGATTGGCCTCATTCTTCACCCTTTTCTAACCTTGTGACGGCACAAATTGCCTCTGACACTAATCTGAGAGTACATATGCGATAATTCGTGTATTTGACTATTTGGGCATGTTCTCAAATGATTAATCCGAATCTTGAATAGTCCACTACTACTGGGGTGAAACTTGGACGGATTGGGTTGGGTTAACGGTCAACCCAACCCAACCGTAGAGGTTCAAACCTTGGGTTTGGGCCTGGCCCAATCCAAGCTTAAGCCCAATATCAATCCAGGCCCAACCCGATCTTAACCCAATACAACTTTTAAGTTGGGCTCGGCCAGGATGGGTTAGTTGGACTTGTGTGGGTTGTTTGATTTGAAAGAATTTATGTATATATTTTTATAGTCATTTTTTATTAAGCTTTATATTTAAGGGTAGAATTGATTTAAAATATGTACAAACTTTCATTTACAAATGTATATATAATATATTTTTATATAAATATAATATTCATATGTATGTATTTGTCTGAATAAGCTTGGATTGGGCCGGGATCAGGCCGCCCAAGAGTTAAAGACCTCAATCCACGCTCAACTCAAGTTCAGGGAGCGTTCTTTTTTTGGTTTTTGAGAGGGGGGAAAATTGGTCAATGGGATTTTAGTTCCGATTGACCAAGAACCCCATGTTCTTTTTTACAGATTAATGTTTTATTTTCCTAGGTATCACTTAAAGCTATGTTTGGTTTGAAGGAAAAGGTAGGGAAAGGAAAAAAGCTATGTTTATTTTGTATACGTTTTCTTGCCTTTCCCTTCCTTTCCCTACCTTTTCCTTCAAACCAAACATAGCCTAAAGGTGGGTAAATAACTTTCCTACATGGGGAGGGAGGGTGGGGGGGAGTTTCAAACACTTGAGTGGGACAAAAATGCCCCCTTTTAATAATGGATTTTTATGGCTAAAATGGCCATTTCCTTTTTTACTTGGGAAATAAAATAACAAGGGTTCTGAAAAAAAAAAAAAATTACCTAGGTAATTGCATTTACCTAGGTAAGTAACTTACCGAAAAGTGAACAGGGCCTTAGATCAGGTCTAAGCTTTTTGGCCTATCACAGTGCTAAAACTCAGGCCTAATCTTTTCTTTTTTTGAAGGGAAGGGCTACACGACGTGGGTAGCCCATCCCCCAACCCAGTTGTAGGCGGGGTTCGATCCCAAGTCTCTACTATGACCGGTAGGAGGCAACCAGCTGGTTGGCACCTTGCAACTTAGGCCTAATCTGTATAAAAACTTGGTTTGAATTGGGTCATATTTAGGCTGGGCCAGTCCAAGTTGCAGCCTAATTAGAACATGAAGCAATCAATTGTGCAAATTTAAGATAATTACGAAAATCGTACTTAAGGCTCAATTTGGAAGAAGTATTGATACAAATGTATAGAGTGTAAAACCTTGTTTTTATATGTATTTGTACATAATCGTATTTATACTATTTCCAAATGGAGCCTAATTTCCAAATTCTTTAGCCGCAAGAGGCCTTGAGACCTAGAGTTCAATTTTGTGCATCGGTCTTAACAAGAGATTTATAGGGCAAAAAGAAAAGAGCGCGATTGTCTTGACTTGAAAGGATGAAGTACGTAGGGATGGCAATTTTCCCCATCCCCAACGGGTACCCGAGCTCCTTGACCCAATGGGGTCGGGGATGGGGGGTACCTTGGCAGGGTCAGGGTCAGAGATGGGGCTACCCCTAAATCCCCGATCAGGGACGGGGACGGGAAATGCAATCCCCGCCCTGCCCTGTCCCCGATTAATATATATATATATATATAATTATATATATTATATATTGTAATAATTATTATTCATTTTTTAAAAGATAAAAAATTAAAAAACACTTAAACAGTAAAAGGCTTGTCAGTTCGTCTTTGTCTTCGACTTCGACAGAACCTTAGGTTTCTCTTCCTTCGTCAGTTTGTCTTCATCGCCGATTCGCCGACCGCCGTCGCTGACTATCGCTACTCACCCATCGCCGTCGGACATTGGACAGAGGACAGAGATACTCGAGTCTTGATAGAGGGCAGAGAAAAGATACTAAAAGGAGAGTTTTAGTTCTTTAATCTTCCTTCAACCTTCGTCATCATCGCTGACCGTTGTCACCATCACCTCGCCCTTCAGATTCTCTCTCATTGCCGACCTCAGCTCTCGCAACGGTCATCTCCCTCTCTTTCTCTCTCTCAAACTCTCATTCTCAGTCTCTCATAGACTCAAACTCAGTCTCCAGTTCGTTGGGAATTCGAGTCTCCGACGGGGATGGAGGGGGGATTCCTTTCCCCACTAAGGATCGGGAACGGGGATGGGGGGTGATTTGGGGGTCGGGGTCGGGGATGGGGAATGTAGTCCCCGCCCCGATGCCATTCCTAGAAGTACGTGTCTTGCCACTTGAGTAAAGCATGAGATTTATTCAGTTTTAGTCTTTTAGATAAACTAACTGGACAGAGAAAGAAATCATGAATTGAAGCCATGTGCGTTTCGTATTATCATCATGGCCATTTTCCTTTAACATAACAATCAAAAGAAGGAAAAAAAAAAAGGTTTCAACCCTTTTACATACTTTCTCACTTCAAAATGGTTCAGCTTTACTTAATTGCAGGTAATCATTGTTTAAAAATTAAAATAATTAGAATGGAAACTAGAAAGTTTTGGGGGAGATAGTTGAAGTCTTGGATATTTTGATTTGGGATTTTTGGCTCTCACGTATACTTAACTTTGAGAAAAGTTTTTTTTTCGACCTAAAGTTCCAAAAATGCTATTTTCGCCCTAAATCTAAAGTGAAAAGGTCTTTTTAAGACAAAAACAAACGCTGTTAAAGACGTAGTTGATATTTACATTAAAATAAATAATAAAACAATAAGGCCCGCATGTGGCACTATTTAAGCAAAAAAACTTTTGAAAAATTACATGTGGATTCCACATAAGAGAAAATTTTTTAAACTCCCTTATGGTTTAGTTAATTGACTAATA